TATAGTAAAAATGTCGCTTTTAGGTAGTCTATTTCTGGTCGAGTCTTGTCAATTGTCTAAAGTACTTGCACCAGGCGATCAGGAAGTTCGGTTCCGTTATATTTTTGCTAACATATGCAAATTTGAAAATAAAATTTCGAAGTTTATAAACAAAATATATAAACTTGAGTGTATATTTTAATCCACATCTAGATTTTCTCTTTCCTAACGTATGGTTTCATATAAACATACTCTTCATATATATCATTTCCTCTGATATTTGGTGGGTTGTTAAGATTTTATTAACAAGCAATAGGAAAAAATCAGTTTTAATCAATACTTTTTAAAAAATTGGGACAAAAACCTGAATCCGTGGCAAATATCCGAAATATTGCTTTTAGAACAATCCGCGGGACGAAAGGAAATCCGGGACCTATCCGACCGGCCCAGGATATGTCCCAGGAATAGCTCAGTCAGTAAGGGCCCAACTCAAATGCCAGCGTACCTTGGATCGATCCTTGGCAATGAGAAGGATAATTTGAAATATTGAGTTAAATAGTCAGTAGAATGTGAATAAAATTAAAAGCAAGAAGGTATATCAAGATTAAAATTGGAGAACAGATTTAGAAGAAAGGAAGAATAGAGAAATCAGTTTTCAAGAACAAAAAAAAAATAGATGGAATAGAATAATTTTCGTTTACTAAAAGTAACTGTATACCATATTTATTGCTTTTAGAACAATCCGCGATATGAAAGATGGAAATCCGGGACCTATCCTACCGGTCCAGGATATGTAGCAGGAATAGCTCAGTCAGTAAGGGCCCAACTCAAACGCCAGCGTTCCTCGGATCGATCCTTGGCAATGAGATGGAAAATTTGAATTATTGAGTTAAATAGTCAGTAGAATTTGAATAAAATTAAAAGTAAGAAGGTATAAAGAGAAATCAGTTTTCAAGAACAAAAAAAAAATTAGATGGAATAGAATAATTTTCGTTTACTAAAAGTAACTGTATACCATATTTATTGCTTTTAGAACAATCCGCGATATGAAAGATGGGAATCCGGGACCTATCCGACCGGTCCAGGATATGTAGCAGGAATAGCTCAGTCAGTAAGGGCCCAACTCAAACGCCAGCGTTCCTCGGATCGATCCTTGACAATGAGATGGAAAATTGAAATATTGAGTTAAATAGTCAGTAGAATTTGAATAAAATTAGAAGTAAGAAGGTATATCAAGATTAAAATTGGAGAACGGATTTAGAAGAAAGGAAGAATAGAGAAATCAGTTTTCAAGAACAAAAAAAATATTAGATGGAATAGAATAATTTTCGTTTACTAAAAGTAACTGTATACCATATTTATTGCTTTTAGAACAATCCGCGATATGAAAGATGGGAATCCGGGACCTATCCGACCGGTCCAGGATATGTAGCAGGAATAGCTCAGTCAGTAAGGGCCCAACTCAAACGCCAGCGTTCCTCGGATCGATCCTTGACAATGAGATGGAAAATTTGAAATATTGAGTTAAATAGTCAGTAGAATTTGAATAAAATTAGAAGTAAGAAGGTATATCAAGATTAAAATTGGAGAACGGATTTAGAAGAAAGGAAGAATAGAGAAATCAGTTTTCAAGAACAAAAAAAATAGATGGAATAGAATAATTTTCGTTTACTAAAAGTAACTGTATACCATATTTATTGCTTTTAGAACAATCTGCGATATGAAAGATGGGAATCCGGGACCTATCCGACCGGTCCAGGATGTGTAACAGGAATAGCTCAGTCAGTAAGGGGCCTAACTCAAACTCCAGCGTTCCTCGGATCGATCCTTGACAATGAGATGGAAAATTTGAAATATTGAGTTAAATAGTCGGTAGACTTTGAATTGTTTAATTGAATTTGAATAAAATTAGAAGTAAGATGACGTCCGTAATCACGTGAGGTTTTTAGGGGGAGGGGAGGGTTTGACAAAAAATCACGAAATATCACGTGAGGAGGGATATAGTAAGATCACGTGTATTTGTTTTTTAACAGATTTTTTTTTTAAATCAAACATTTTCGAACAAAAATTACTTCATTCAAAAATTTTACAGTTTTTTCACATAACTAAAAATACACGTGATGTTTGGTGTGGGAGGGGGGTAATTTTGAATATCACCATGTATAACCAAGGGGGAGGGGGGGTCCAAAAATCCTTAAAAACTCGCACACGTGATTAATGGACGCCCCCTAAGAAGGTAAAGCAAGATTAAAATTGGAGAAAATCGGATTTAGAAGAAAGGAAGTATAGAGAAATCAATTTTGAAGAACAAAAAAAAATTGAATGAAGTAGATTTTTTTTCTGAAAGTAACTGTATACCATATTTATTGTAATTTGTATTTTTGAGTCCTCTTGGAGAAATCTGTGGGCTATATATTTAAATAAATAAATAAATAAATAAATAAGTAATTAGTACACCTGCCCCTGCATATATCAATCGTAATCATCATCTCCGCAATTTGTTGAATACTATGTGAATAAATCACGAATAAAATTATCATATATTTGTTTTGATTACGCCGTTGTATCTATTTCGTATTAATGTCGAATCGTTGTATTTGATGCAAGCATCGACAAGTAGTGCGATAACGACGATAACACCTTGGCTACGACTACGAATGAATAAATATTTTTTTCTCTGTCTTTCATTTCATTCATTACAATCTATGCCTACCGCTGGCTACGATTTTAACGTTTCGGTTTGGCGTAAAGTGAATGCACACAAATGTATAAGGAAACATATGAACTGTTTCATATATGTATGTATATAGAGGCTCTATATACATACATATATACTCTATATACATACGAATACATATAGCTCTATAATAGAGCTATATGTATTCGACTGGATTTTGTAGCCCAGCGTTCTCTATTGTGCTAGAGTGGGTGTGTAGAGTACCCGGGGCGGGGATACACGGCCGGAAGTGACGCGACCATGAAGGTTATGGAGACGTGTGATGGTAAAGGAAAATTGTAAATAACTTTGTGGAAAACTTGATATTTTATTCATCAGTAGTTTGAGTCGATGTAAACTTAATTAATTTCACCAATTTATGTTTTCCTTTATGCATATATATACATAACAAGTCAAATTTTCATTTAGACTTTTTACTCATAGGTATTGCGTCCTACATGTCTGATGGTATTAATAACAATGATATAAGGCAATTGAGATATACAGAGTTTACAAATTTATGGTGATAAAAAAATTAAAACAATCCTCCATAAAAGATCACATTTCCATTAGTAAGAATTGAACCTTTCATCCAATAGATTCTATTATTTTATATATTTGATTAGCAATAAGTGCATGAGAGTCTTTTGAGCTGTTTTAGCTACGTCACTTTTTAGAAAGCAGCCCAACGGTTAGCCTATCTCTATTTGATATATTATTATTGGAATTTCTCTAATTACTGATGATTTAAACTCACTAATACCGGTGATGTTCTAATTTGATTCCGGGAATGGCTATTTTGATTGAAAACATATTTTCATAAACATCATTTTGTTTGGGTTTATTATTTCAATTTGATGGTTGTGTAGAAATTTTTCAAGTATTATACAACAATAATATAAAAATAACCGGTAAAAATCTATACTAAGCTCCTTTTGATTGAAAATCTCTGTTAGAAAACCAGATAACAGTTTCGATGCTATTGAATACGTTTTTCAATTCAAAATAAGAGTGAAATGCCTTCTTTTTTACTAACATCAGATCGATAGATATGATACTAAACTTTGTTTATGTATTAAATAAATATAAAATTAAGACCTATCAAGATGAGTTGATAAAGATTATATTTACGTAAACATATAGCAATCTTTTACACTTCTGATTCTTTTATAGTTTTGGAAGTAAAATTTAGACTAAAAACAATATCAGAGTAACATGATCTAGTTATTATTTTTTTGTGACTGTTGAAAAACCTATCTTTTACTGAAAAGCAATTCTTAGAAAATGCTGTTAATTACATGTGATTTAAACAGGTTCAGAAAAATAAATTAAGATTGTATTAACAGTATTAAAAATTATACTAATATTGACGATTATAGAAACATATGAAGCATTTATATGAAAGATAAATGGTATAAAAACAACAGCATTATGCTCAAACTTAGCAGTTTTGTTATTATTTATTGTTTTTATCAAATAACATTCATATTATTATATAGAAATAACATTTATATTATTTTATAAATAATTTTTAAAGATTTTTATACAGTAACGGATTTATATTTTTAACACACAACAATTTTTAATTACAATTTTACTACTATAATAGAACTGAAAGAAAAGTATAAAAATCGAATTTTTAATGAAAAGCCAACAGCAAAAGAATATTTTTTCTAATTTTTTTAATTGATGATAGAACTATAATAGAACTGAAAAAAAATTATAAAAATCTAATGTTTAGTTAGAAAATCAATAAAATTTTGATCTTAATCTTTTAATCAATAATCTTTTGATCTTTGATGTTTAAAAGGAAATTGAGGACAAAGAAGACTGAAGAGTTATATAACGATAGAGATATTTTAATTATAACAGATATTATATTAATGAAATGTATATATAAAATATGAAAACTGTTTTCATAATCTCTCATACCAGGCACTTCTGTCTGTCTGAGATATGAAAATAATGTATATATATATATCTATATATATATATATATATATATAAATAAATAAATAATAAAAATATTGAAATCTAATTAAAAGAAATCTTGTAACAAAATCCAAAGCAGTATATTTTATATGAATAATATTTATAAATCTCACGCTAGAAAATTCGTTTTATTTAAATGCAATGATAGAATAGAATCATTATTTTCAAACGCTTAAATTTTCCTTTCCCATCGAATACAAATGCTCTCAAAACCATATATTATCTCCACGCTCGTTTACCTCAATGACTCGAGAGGCTCGGAAGTCGGTAAAGCAGAGTGCATTATCGACTTAGCAACAGTGATGGAGTTAATATGGCTGTCGAAACACACAAAGTGCGAGTGAAAAAAACAATTAAAAATTAAAATTGGTAGGTCTATAAAATTTAAGTGTACTACATGGATTATAAATCTACATTGTGTTATTTGTATGTTTTAAAAAAATGGTTATATGTGTTGGGTTTCATGATCTGTCAAATGTTGACGAGTGTAGGTATCATGTCAAATGATATTTTCCAAAACAGGTGGTAACATTATTTAACATAACATCGTTAAGATTGTTTTTAATGCGTTCGTAATGTCTCGATTACGTTGTTTATGTTTTATAAAATGTATTTGTATTGTTTGTGTGTATTAATCTAGTGTAAACATGGAATTGTGAAGTGTAACATAACCTTAACTTCATGAATGATATTTATCAATGGTAACGTAAATTATTCAGCTCGTCTGTTATTGATTTCATAATGAATGAATAACGATTGTGTCATAAAATGAGGTAAGTGTCGATAACAATAAACAAGGCGATTGAAATTACAAGACTGCGAATGCGTTAGTCGTAATGACAGCTTTCCCAAGCTTTTGTAAAAGCTCGTCAATAGGATCTCTTATCGAGGATATTATAAACTAATTATTATACTATAACCCCGTTGCGTTTATTTTTAGACGTTTATCTTTTGATTTGTGCATATTTATTTGAATGGGATGCGATAATAATTCATCATAGATTCTTATTGTTCATATCGGATGTAATTGTTCGACTATTACTCTCGAACTGGGAGTTGGTTTTATTACTACGAGAGATAAGAGATCGATGTTAATTATTATTATTAATGGCAACATCCTTTGTTAAAGTTTCGAGATGTTTTAAAGAAGTAGCAATTACGCATCCCCAGCTGACTCTATGAACCAAACCGCCATTATTATGTCAAATGTCAAATGTCGTGACCTCATTTAGGTTTAAACTTATCTCGTTGCTTTATTACAATTAATATTACTACAATTATGATGCACTAAATAAAATTTCATTTGAGACACGGAGAGAGTTAAATTTATTCTAAACATAATTTATATATGATAATAATCATAATTTGTATAGATTTTCTATAGTTTCACAAAATGTTAAATAATGATGTTCATTATTATTTTTCAAGAATTTATACGTTTTAAATAAGAATAATTTATAATGTACTACATTTTTTTCACTAATGAGTAACACGTTATTTATATTTTTTGATCTTAAAATGAGATCATCAATTGTTTTAGTGCTATTACACCATTATTTGAGGAAGAGTAACCTAATGGAGTAACACATTTTTTAATTACAATATTTTTCTGATTAGCCTCCTTTGCCGATAAATCTTCTTCATGTTTACTTTGGATATTCAGTACTAGAGAAATTCTAATATTAAAAATATATCAATTATACATAGGCCGACCTTTGGGTTGCCTTTTGTAAAAGCTATGCAGTTAAAGAATGTCATCAAAAACGGCTCATAGACCTAAAGTTTTGATACTTATATTTTATTTTTATAATATAATTAGCCACTTTCATTATTTAGTTATTTTATTCAAGTTTTTATGAATTTTATTGGGTTTTAGTTTTTTTAATTTATTGCCATTTGTTACTTCATGCAGTTTATCATATAAGTTGATATGACATTAATAACAGTTAATTATTAATATAATTAATATTAGTATTAATTTCAAAATTTAATTTCTATTAAATATTTAGTATTTTCATATTTTTCTCAACATATTATTTAATATTTTTCAATAAATGATTTTTTTATGGTACATATAGTTTTAATTATATTCAATAATTAGCAGAATATCCAATTTCAATTCACTTCTTATATATATTTTATTCTAATGCAAATTTAATAACTTATATGTTATGTTAACTTATATGTTTTGTTAATGAAAATTTTGCATATCGTGTAGCAAATTTAACGAATTAAAATATTTCTAAAATTTTGTTAGTTCTAATATAGTTTTAGCTCGATTTTCCGACTATTCAATCTTTTAGTTATTTTTTTAGATATTCCAGTATTGTAATTATATTTGAAACAGCTATAAAAATGAATATGCAGAAAAAAGCAAGGATATTGTAATATGGTGAAAAGCTATGAAAAACGCATATAAAGTTATATAAATTCATAAATATATAATCTATATTAAAGAAATCTTCAATCGGTACATCAAAATGCGTGGGTGTACTATTTATCTCTATTATTTATATTTTATTATCTATCTTATCTCATTTTTCGTGTAATGATGTCATTTTGGTATGAACTTACTAAACATTTTACATTAATATTAAAATGTGAAATGGGGAAAGAAATTCATTGGAATTAGATACAGTTTAAACCAATGATTCCTAAAGTGGGTTCATCACAACTTTCAAGGGGCCCTCGTCAACGAAAAGAGATTATAGAGATCCGACTTGTTAATATCTGTTTTATTATTATTACAAAGTCAATTAATAAATGTCGTAATTTGGATTAGTATATTTACTTTAAAGGTTTAATACTAAACGTTAGTACAAATACAAATTTATAAAAAAAATCGATATCGGCTAAATAGGGGGTCCATGGCAAGGTTAAGGTGTCCACGACACAAACAAGTTTGGGAACCCATGGTTTAAACAATATTAAATGTTTATGTATATATTGTCAGGATATATATATATATATATATATATATATATATATATATATATATATTATAATTTTATTAGCATAATCTTTTATACTCAAAAGTTTTATTCAGTTCTGAATAAAGTAGTATTTTTATGAATGAGATCGGATGCGAGTATTCAAGAGTTTATGTAGTTTGGCCTGATCGTGATGTACTTCTTCACTACACTATTTGCATAAATTGAATTAATAAGATTAATTTAATTATAAATAGAATAACTGAATTATCCTTATCAAGGAGTACTGATAACTATCAAGGAGTCAGAAGAATATTTTAATTTTAGGCTTTAGTTGAAGAGTATAGACTCAGGACACAAAAAATTATCTTCTGAAAATTAATATTCATCTTCAAATTGAAAAAAACTGATTGATTGATTTTATAAATAAATTATCAATTTCCAGAAAATTGTATATTTAGTTAGATACAGTGCTTATTCGAGAATGCTTTGAAATATAACTCACAATTATAGCAAATATACCATCATTAATAAATTTATTAATTTATACAAAATAAAATTAAAGTTACAGACAATTATTCCACACAAGTATATGCAGCAAACCCAAAAAATCTATATAGTATATTCATTCGTATATGTAGAATACAAATAGTAAGAAATATTATTTATAATATTAATATTATTTATAATGTTTATATTATTTATAATATTAATAAATTAATGAATATTGCTACATATTATTTATAATATTTATTACCGTGGATTTTTTTGGGTTTTTATAGCATACTTGCGTGGAATAATTGTTTGTAACTTCAATTTTATTTTGTATAAACTAATTAAGTTGTTAATGATGGATTTTTTTTGCTATGATTGTGAGTTCTATATCAAAATATTTTCGAATAAGCATTCTATTTAACTAAATATATAATTTTCTTAAAGTTGATCACTTATTTAGAAAAGTTATTTTATTTTTTTTATTTATAAGAACTAAGGTTAAGGTTATGAGAACTAATTTTTAGTAAACTAATTTTTTGAGTCACGAGCTAAAATACCTCAGACTTTGTCAATAATTTTGTCAACTTAAAAATGAATAAATATATTATATAAGGATATGTAAATAAATAATTAAACAGAATATATAGAAACCAGACACTTTTTTTTCCACTTCATTTTCACAATTTGTGTTGATTTCTTGTAACATATTATATGTTCCATATAATATTTATTCATATTAATTTTGAAATATTAGCAGCAGCAATTTCTTATACTCTATATAGTTTATATAAACTTCATATAACTTATTGTAGATAATTTCGCTTTGGCATTGTACTTTTGTAGTACTCTTGGTGTGAAATTTGATGTATTTTATATTAATTTTATAAATTAATATTGAAAAAATTACCTGTATCAACTTGTATAATTATCAACGACAGCATTTTTAACGGTATAAAATTCATTTAACTTGTAGATTTTGATTTTCAATACCCTTCTAACTTACATATTATATTGTAATCTGATAATTAAAACTAGTAATAAAAAAACTTATTGCAGTTAATTTTGCTTTGTCTTCGGAAAAAACACATATTTATATACTCTATTTATAAATTAATATTAAAAAAGTATTACCAGTATCAATTACTTATATAATTATTAACAACATTTTAACTGCTTAAATAGCAGAAGATGGTTTATATAAAATTTATATAACTTATCGTAGATTTTGATTTTCAATACCCTTACTTTTAACTTATAGATTATATTGTAATCTGATTATTAAAACTAATAATACAAAAAAGCTTGTTGCGTTCGAAAAAAATTGATGTATTTATATACTTTATTTATAAATTAATATTATAAAAATATTACCAATATCAACTACTTGTATAATTATTAACAACATTTTTAACGGCTTAAGATTCTTCATCGTACAAGATAGTTAATATGAAATTCATTACATTTATAGTAGATAATTTTGTTTTGTCTTTAAAAATATAATGTGTTTATATACTCTATTTATGATTAGTCTTGAGCAAAATTTAAAAACGTTAAAACTTTATTAATTATTAGCGATAACATTTTTAACAACTTTGTTAAAAAATCACATTTTTGTTAAAGATTCGCCCAAAGTTTTATTAAAATTCTTTAAATAAAATTTTGGTTCGCAAAATACGGTTATATAAAAAATTCATTCAACTAATCGTAGCTCCGTAGTACCAATGATGATACATTTGATGCATCTTTGAGTGAATTAATACCATCCACGGCGTATGTACATCAAACTTTTTTTCCATCAATTCAAATATTGCGTATTTATTACCATTAATTTTTCATTATTTGTTTTTTCGATCATTATGCATTTGTTGATGTAAGTATATACATGATATATACCGGCTGGTGGCTATACGTATTTGAATTGGAC